CCCCCCCCCCTCTCTCTCTCTCTACACATATACAGAGTATTATATATACATATATGTATAACATGCAATCTCTCTCTATTCCTTATTTAAATCTCCTTTAATATCTTCCCTACAAAAACCTTTCTTGATTCTCTTCTGTTTTCAGTTACAAATTAAGCTATTCCCATGGAGACCGGCCCAAGAGAAGAAGAGTTTGACTGGCTTTTCATCAGTCAAAACCCTACCGATTTTGCGCCGTCATCCTCCTCCGTGAACCAGCAACAGCCGCCGTCCAATACCACCATCATGGGTTCTTCTTCTGCCCGGCAAGTAAATGGCAATGGTAGTTTCCTTGGTGACAATACTGGTGTTTTCTCTTTCCAGACCAAGCAACAACAACAGCTGCCGGCGGTGGGTAACCACTTTGTAGCCAATCCCGTCCGTTCTATTTTTGATCATCGAGATCGTTATCCGGCGGATTTCAGTCTTGAATTCAATCCGTACGACTACTGCTGCAATTCTTGCAACCCTGATCAGTTGTACTGCTTTGGTGCTACTGATTTCCATCCGGCCGGCCTTGCAAGTTTCGATCACCGATCATCCCTGAATGGTTTTCCAGAAACCCCACGTGAGAGGAATCTTGAAATCGATTTTAATCGACTTAATATATCATCATCAAACCACCATCTGCTGCCGTTCTTGGCCTCTTCTCCGCCCCTTGGGGGTTCTACCATCGCAAACAATTCGCTCATTGACTCGTCTTTCAATGTGGGTAACATCTATCCTCAAGGGAGAGTTCCTGCTCCGGTGACGCCGGTCAACCGGAACGTAGCCTTCCATGATCCCTGCTGCAATCTGCATAGTCGGAGAGATAGCTTTGAATTGAATCCAAGGGGTTTATGTAATCTGCTTGAAAACCCTATCCGATCTAGAGATTGGATTAGCGCATACCCAAACCCTATCAGTAACTCTCTCCCCCAATCCCGGCAGCAGCCGAAACGAACCAAGTTTCCGGCCTCTTTGAAAGATATAAGAGGCTTGATATGCTTGGTGGCTAAGGGTCAAGAAGGCTGCCAATTCTTGCAGACCAAGTGTGAAGAAGGAAAACCTGAAGATATCGAGATGATATTTTCTGAGATTAAAGATCATATTCGTGAATTTATGGTGGATGCATCGATGAATTATCTTGCTCAGAAACTGTTCAAAGTGTGCAATGAGAGACAAATGACTCACATTGTTGTTTCTGTGATTACTGATGATGCCAATCTCACCTCTATTTGCCTCAATTCTCATGGGTATCAAATAATTTATCAGATTTCTTATAGATCTTTATATATATGAAGCATAAATATTACTAATGTGCTTTTGCTTCAGGACTCGAGCGATGCAGAAGTTGATTGAACTTCTCTCGACGGCAGAACAACGATCTTTGATCGTATCAGCACTTAGGAGGATCACGGTTACCTTGACCAAAAACACGAACGGCCATCATGTCATTCAGCACTGCTTGAAATCCTTCCATGTTGACGAAGTCCAGGTATACCACATCCCTCCTTTACATTCCTTTTAGGGTTTATCTCAACTCTTCATCTTTCTCAATGAAGTGCAAGTTTAAGTGTTGCAAGTGTTGTTATTCTATGGTCTTTGATGCTTATAATTCTTTGATTCTTGCAACTCTTTTTGAAGGTAAAATCCGTTTGATTTGATCATCATAATTAAACTTCTGTCGTCTCATGTTTCCGGATCATGGTTTTTTTGGTAATTTGGATATTTGATTGATTCAAAACTAATGAATGTATTGTTGCAGCCAATTCTGAATGTGGTAGCTGATAATTGTCTAGACATAGCTACTGACAAAAGTGGATGCTGTGTGTTACAACAATGTGTATTACACGCCAATGGTGTATCTAAAGAGCGACTACTGACTGAAATCATAGCTAATGCACTCCATCTAGCTGAACACCCTTATGGGTTTGTCCTCTTCTTTTAGTGATTATAGCTTAATCAAGATTAGACTGCATGTACTCATCTTTTTAACTATAAATTTCAGGAATTATGTTGTCCAGCACATATTGGGAATGCAGATACCAGGTGTTACTGCTGATATATTGCAGAGGCTTTCTGGGAATTTTGTCACTCTTGCAATGAACAAGTATGCAAGTAATGTTGTGGAGAAGTGTTTGAAGGATGCTCCAGATGATCAGTCTATCCCCATCATTAGGGAGATTATAAACAGTCAAAACTTTTTATCGGTTATTCAGCATCCGTATGGGAACTATGTTGCACAATCAGCGTTACAAACCGCAAAGGTTTGGTCATAACAACCTACTTTACAGTTTAAACGTGCTTATCAATCTGTAACCTACATTGGATTACGACGCATGCAGGGCTCTCTTAAGGAGATGATGATCAACAAAGTCCAGAAAGAGTATGCATTTTTACACAGTCATCCACATGGGAAGAGGGTTCTGGCATTAGCTAGAAACAGCAAGCCACGCGGTTCGCCTCAAGCATGAGAAGCTGTTTGTGTTCATCTATGTTGTGGAGTAGCAAAAGTATGGAGGAAGCTTAACTATTAAGTATGGTGTGTCTGTTATAAGATATATGTCGTATTAACTATAGTTTTATCTAGGTTGTGTTAGGGTTATTTTGTCTTAATCTGCTCTTTGCTTTCTCTAGTTGAGATTCTTGATGCAATTAAACGTTCAGACAGGTAGGGCAGATGGATATATAAACGTATAATAAGTGGTGCATGTTTATGTTTGAGGGTCTAGGATATATATCGTATTGTTGAAGTGTTATATATAGTATTATTTCGTGTGCTAATATAGATCTTTATATATGCTTCTGGTTTGACCATTTATGGGTAACTTGTGCTTAATGAACCTTTGTCTTTCTCGCTAACGGGTCTTTTCCAAGTGTGCTTATCAGATCACTTACGTTAATGGCAAAGAACGACAGTCTTACGTGGTAAGTAAGATGATGACTCTTATTGGTAAGCACTCACTTGAAACTTTTTCCCATCTTAAATGCCAACCGAATGTTTTAGTATAAATGCAATTGTGTCCATATTAACATGCTATTTATATATCAACATGCCATATTTAAAAAAAGCAATTCCATGGTAATCACATCTCGGAATGATGCTGTACATAGTGATTGAGGTTGTATAGTAGGAAGGGAATCTGTAAATAAGGAAATTATAACGATGTTGTCCGATACGGATTTCACAACCGTTGGTACTTGTTTCAGTTCTTTACGATTTGTAACGATTAATATCAGCTACACGTTCAAATATTCATGACGAAAATTAGATATCTGTATGTGATAGATATTGAACATGTATAACGATTAAAATTTTATAGAAACCTTATAGAAACAACCCACTACTTTACATTTTATAGAAATCTTCAACCCACTAGCTACAGGTTCGATGGTATCCAAGTGTTTTTTAACTTTGTTTTTGCCAAGGTCACACCTTGATTAGGTGTGCTCAAAAGATCGACCGACACAACCCAAAAAACCGGAAAAAAAACTCGATATGTGGTACCTGACAGATAATTGATATTGAATTTGGCCAAAACGCATCTATAGGGTTGAAATTGGGTTAGAGTAATTTAAATCCAATCCAACCTGATACTCTTCGATACTACGAATTTAATATGATTGTTAAGTCGTTGGTTAATATACGTCATTACAACAAAATTGGGTTTATAAGAGGCCACCAATTTCAAAGCGTCCTAATAGACTGTGTTATAGGACCAAAAAATAAAAAGTCCTATCGAAATGTGTTGTAATAAGTTTATAAGATGCTTTTAAGCGTATTCACAAGTTTTTTAGTACATTTTTAATACAAAGCCTCGAATTAACTATTTTATATGACATATTTGAATAAATGTCTTATAAAAACAAATATCCTATAAAAAGATGAGTTTATAAGTGTCCTATAAAATAGTCTAATAGGACGCTTTGTATTAAAGATGTCCTAAAAACTTGTATAGACGCTAAAAAACGTCCTATAAACTTATTACAACGTCAATTAGATAGAACCTTTTAGTTTTTGGTCCTATAAATTAAGTCTTATAAAGCAGTTTATTAGGACGCTTTGAAATTGGTGGCATCCTATAAACCCAATTTTATTGTAGTGTGTACATCAAACAAACCCCTAATTAGCTACATTCAAAAAAATATTACAATTTCAACCGTAATTAATTATTCTTCTTTTTTTGGTTTGTTACTTTTTTTTGTATGTTCTCATTTTGATTTAATTCGTTTAAACAAGACGCTTAACTTGATTATAAAATGATGTAGCAAAATTTCAATCCCACCAACCCAAACATTGGGTTGCTTGCAGTTTTGCTTGGGTTGGGTTGGGTTGAGATTTCTCAAACACCGAACATTGAGTTTAGTTGTTTAAACATCTTCAACATGGCCAACCCCAACCCTTGTACAACCCTACCTTGAATCTAAAGCTTAAGGTTTGGCCTTATCGACGCTTTAGAAGAATATCACATCCACTTTCAATATCATTAAGCCACTTTCAAAGAGTCTGATCCAAATAAGTTGCGAGTCTCATTAAGCTTATTAAGTTGCTAACAAACAAATCCTGAAAGCATCTACACCCGGTGATTCAGTTACATCGGATTTTTGTTTTCTACATATTAAACATTTTACCTTTGATTAAACCGGTTCATGTTTCATAAACTTTTCTCCTTTCACGCTCACAACTTAATTCCAACGGAATAAAAGTTTATGAACCGGTCTATCAAGTTTAATGCCTTTTATCGAATAAAAACAATGTTTTTTTTTATTAAAATTAAATTTGGACCTGTTTGTTTGACTGATTGTTTTTAGGATTTTTGGATTTCATTTAAGAATTTAAAATTGAAAAGTTTTGGAATATTTGGTACGTTTGGTTTGTAATTTTTGCAATGTAATTGAATCCCGTTCTTTATAGTTTAAAGACAAATTATAAAAATAACTGAATTATCTTTTATTAATTGATTATTACAAAACGAACGTCTTTGACGTGTTTTAAAATATTATTATAAGCAAATCATATTAAATCCTGTAAAATATCAAATACCCCCATAATAATTCTCTGTATCTAGGATTTCATTAGAATAATGGGATTTCAATTACGAACAAGGTATGAAAAACATGTCGAAATACATGTCGTTTCGGGAGATCAAGCTTCTTCCATAACGTATTTTTAGAGAGTATGTGTCTCAAAACAAGATATGAAAAACACAAGGAATGCATATATGCCAATAAATATGACGGATGGTATTAATGTTGTGTTCTTGAATTTGGAGAGAGAAAAAGGAAAATAATTTATTTTATTTGTGTTTTCGAAAGGGGGTCAAAGGAAAAGAAAGCAATAATTTTTTGTGTTCTTGAACATGAGAGAAAGGAAAGGAAAGATGTCATTTTTACTAACGTACCCTTTAAAATTATATTATTTAGAATGAAAGTTAGGGGCTGTTTACTAAACAATTACCTGGGTAAGGCTTACTAAAGTAACATTATCTCACCGGATAAACATGGTAAAAAGCAAAAATCTTACCCGGTAAGAGCGAGACAAGGACCAAGAGTCTTACCCGATAAGTGAAAACGACGACTCTTACCATGGTATGCGCTTACCGGGTAAATTGTTGGATACAATGTCGTTTTGGTGGATAAAATCTTATCCGGTAAGTAAATAATAATAATGTTAAATTTTACCGGTAAGCACTTACCTGGTAAGTGTTTGGTAAACGGCCTCTTACTTAGTTTTGTAATTTTATTAATTTCTTAAATGATTTCAATTTATTTCCTTTCATTTCCTTCCTTTTCATCCCACGTTTGGGAGGAAAGTTTTGGAAGAAAACTAATCATTATTTTCTTTCTCTTTCCTTTCTTTTTTAATCTTAAAAATGTTTCGAGAACACGAGTTTTTTTAATTTTCCTCACCGTTCCCTCATTTTTCTTTTCTTTCCTTCTTAAAATGAGTTTCCAGAATGCAACGTAAAGGAGTATTTGTTTAAAGTTTAATGATGTAATCATATACGGTTATTTGTTTACCGCTTAATGACTAAGCCATTAAGCTGATTTGGGTTTATTCAGTCACTCTTGGCTATTGAAACCCCCAAACTGCCATCAAAGTTCACTCACTCGATGCTCTCTCACTCTGTTGCTCACTCCCTCGTCGATGTGGAGTAGATGAAGGGGACATGGATCGACTAGTTTATTCAATATTTTGGTTTTGTTTGTGTTTATATTCATGTATAATAATAATTTATATTATTATTTAACACAAAAATTAATTAATTTAATCCATACAAGTAGAAATGTGTTAAAGAATATAATCTAAATATTGTTGCTTTCATTAAGATCAATTATTTTTAGAATCAGTTCAGTTGGATCTTATGATAAATAAAATGGAACTAAACCAACAAATAGATCTATAAGTTCTTGATTTTTTATTAAGCAAAATGAACCATAGAAAATTACAAATATAACCTTTTACTAGAAATTGGTATCATTTATTTCACACTCGTAACTAAAGAGACAACACTAAACACTCGTTACATAAAAAGACCATACCATATAGGGTGATGGTAGGGAAGTAATAGAATTGAAATTTAAGGGCATTTCGGTTTGCCTTTGATGTTCTTCTTGTCTTTGTAACAAGGGCATTCATGCTTGTTTCCAAAGGTATTCAACGGTATACATTTGCACTCTTCACAACATAACTCACAGTACTTCATACACTTGTCGGAGAACCCTAATTTCGCGCATCTTCCTTTGCACTTGCTCTTACAATACACTTTTTCCGTTCATAATCGTCCCACCAAAGTAAGAAAACCGTCTTAGTACATACTAAAAAAGATATTAAAATCATTCTACTGAGTTAGGTTAACGTGAGACCAGTTTATTTTCATGAGACCCGTGAGAGCACATTTTTATACTTGAAACTTCACAGCAAAACATTGTGAAAGTAAAAAAAATATGAACTTTCACAACAAAAACACTGTGAAGGTTACCTTCACAGTGTCTTGCTATGAAATATCAAGTGTAAAAAAATGATCTCACGAAAACAACTTGGTCTCACTTGATCCTAAGTCTCGTTCCACTTACGCATAAGTTATACAACGAACATACACAAATAAATGTCTTAAAACAATAAATAAAAAAAAAATCTGATCATGACACAAAATGCACATATAAACCATTTTGGTCTTTGAAGAAAAACATATGGACAAAAACCAAGATCGCGTATTTTACAAGAAAAAAAAAATAAGAATATTTAAAAATACATGTCTTAAAACATTGATTGAAGATAGAGATACCTTGTTGATTGGCAAAGGAAGGTTGGAGAGTAGAAGTGGCAAGGAGAAGGGAAAGGAGAATTCCAAGCAACAAAATTTTCCTCATTTGGTTTTTGGCCCAAAGATTGAAGTTAAAACTCAACAAAACGACTAAAAAGATAAAGAAAAGTTGATGGAGGGGTTTTTAGCTAATTTACAAAAAATAAAAGGGTGTAATATGTAAATATAGAAGTGAAGGGGTGGTAATTGATACTTGGTAGTTGCATAATGAAACAAATAAGAGTATTTTATAGGGGGTGTTTTGGGGGTGGGGAGTGACGAAAGAAATGAATAAAGAGTAGGTGAGTATTGCAGATGGAGTGAATTGGTTATGTTAAGGTTAAGGTTGCACATGAGGTTTATGCAGCTACACTACGAGGCCGTTTACCTAAATGCTTACTCGATAAGTGTTTAACGTTAGGAGTTAACACTATAATTTTATTTTATTGGATAAGGTTGTAATACATCAAAACATATCTTAAACAACAATTAACCTGGTAAGCGCTTACCCGGGTAAGAGTCGTCACCCTCACTTACCGGATAAGACTCTCCATCATTGTCGTCGCTCTTACCGGGTAAGATTCTTGGCCCCTTACCATGTTCATCTGGTGAGGAAAATTACCGGGTAAGCGTTTAGTAAACAGTCCCTACATTTAATAGTTTCCTTTTTCGGTTTTGAACTGAAATGTATTATAAGTTTAAACTGTTAAATTGTGAGAATTTATCTGATGAAATTTAAGGATCAACAGAGGAGTTTTTGAACAAGTCAGTGCAAGTAATTGGTCAAATGACACAGTGTTATACATACTGGTAAAAATAAACCTTTGTCTGTCGATGTAATAGTTGTTGGAATGCCACGATTTGAAACATCAGATGAAGAGATATGTTTTTTATTGACACGTAAGGAATTTCTTAAAGTGTAATGGAGAAACCAAGTGGTTGGGATATGATGACAAGACTAATAAAACCGATGACGATTGATGTATGCATAGATTGCTTATTGGGAGCATCGTCCATAGATCGTGATGTTTGCCATACTGTATATACGTCATAAGATAACACAAAATCAAATTCTGACTCGTCAATTTTAGTGTTGTTTTAAATGCTACAATCGATCATTTCAGCTTTGAAAGCAATGGACAGATGATAGATCTTACAACTTATAACTAATTCTTAATCCATTTATTACAAAATGATTACACATCCCTTAATTTGTCTTGTGAATGGAAATTAGTATCAGCCAGAAAAAATAAAAAGAGCGTAAACGGAAAATCAAAAACAACATGCTTAAGTAAATAATTTGAAAATACGACTTCCGTTTTGTTTTTCCAATTGTTATCGTATTTGTACATGTATGCATATTTAAACAATTGATGAATTTCAATCAGCCTTATCAGTATTTTATAATGATTATTAACAAATAAAACCAAATAGAAAAATGGTACTTTTAGAGCCTTGTGTCCCTACGAAAAGAAGGTGAGGTTTCCACAGCAAGGCCTCGGATTCAAATCCATTCCCACCCACTCTCCTTTAAGATACCGTAATTCATGCAATGCAAAACCTTTTCTCGGCAACCACACGAGACTTGTATGGTACAAGTCCGTGTAGCACCCAATCTCAGATCAAAACGGAGAAGACTAAATGCACACCTACTTATTAATATCATCCTTATACACATCGACATCAAAAAGACGTCATTTTATCATTTTTTAAGGTATGATTTAACCCAACTTTGATATAAATAGGTGTACATATATCAACATACGATTAGGGGTGCTCATTGGTTGGGTTAATCGGGTTGAAGATATTTAAACAACTCAACCTAATGTTTGCGGTTTGGAAAAATCTTAACCCAACCCAACCCAAACCAAAGTGCAACCCAATCCGTACGAGTTGGTCGGGTTGATACTTTGGTACATTAAAATATTTTTTTAACCTTGAATATGTTATTTATCTACTCATTGTTTCCTTTTCATCGTCAATCATTTGATACAACTTATCCATATTTCTTACGTATATTACATTCAATTAACTTTCTCAATTTACATATATATGTTCACTGTTACTAAACATATATACGAATGAATTATACAGAAATGTGAATAGATTGAAGATATGTGTATATGAAAAGTATACATGATGGTGTAATTGTCTAATGTATATATTAATAAATATTCAACAATCATATTAAATCCAAGAAATAAAAAGATATCTGGTTCAATTGGTTGGATTCAAATAATAGTAACTCAATATCAACCTAATATCTACAGTTTAACAAATTTACAACTCCATTAGACATCGGGTTGATTCGGGTTAGGTTATTTCATGTTGGGTTGAGACCATTGTTGGGTTTTTGAGCATCCCTACACACGGTCATATGTAAGATTTACATCAATTGGAGAGGGGAACTAAGGTTGCCTTATAAGGGGCATGATACCTCATCTATCAAAAGCGTTCCAGGTGTAGACAAAACAGACAATGTCTTATACAGCTGTCTGAGATATCATATGATACCTTTTAAAAGCAGAGACTGAATGTAATAAGCTGAAGAGGATGAATTGAAAGAAAGCAAGCATAAATGAAAACAATAATAATAGTAGTAGTAATGAAGTCAACAATATCACAATCAAAAATTACAATAAACAGCATCCCCCCAAAAGAATGTATATAGCTACTCCAAATACAATGCAAAAGCTCTCATCCATCGGCTGACTGCAAACAAGACTATATAAAACCCGACACCACAAAAATATCCACCCGTCTCTCTAGAATAGCGAGTAAACGAGAGCCAACCCGAAAACCATGCTCCCGACCATCGATCCCATCTTCTCTACACCGCTCTGCAATGTCAATGCCGAAAGTAAGATCAAATAAGCACCCAACAGAGAATAAAACATCCATTTAAATAAGATAACACAAGAACACGTATATCATATATGATTTTAGACTAAATTCGATCAACGCTCTTAGGTTGTCGGGCCAAGCATAGCAAGCGGACGTCCGCATTCATCGAATCTGAATTGTTATGGTTTAAACTGTAATGAATTAATTATATAGATTAAATATAATGTTGATGCATATTTACTAACATGACCTAATCTTCTAAAGGGACCAAGTGGATAATGCAGGGGTCATTAATGTCATTTTGCAAAGGATTATTGGATGCCTAAAAGAACAAGACGACACACGTGATTACAACCCACCAAGAAAACAAAGCACGGAACACGAGAGAGCAACAGACGCTCATGTTAGCAAAAACACACATACATTCGATGTATCGCTATAGTGCGCATGTGACATCCTGATATGGAAGTGATTCTTTAAGCAATATTATGATGAGAATGGTCAGATCTGATGGCAAAGCGGGGAGCATATATCGCAGGCGCATGGTGGCTACTAGTCATGTATTGAGCAGATCAGGCTACTGATCTCGATGACCATGGCAGGGGGTAGTCAGTACGACACGTGAACGGTACAATCGGGTTCAGGTTAGATAACATCAAGCATTTTAACTAACATACGCCTCTGTTTTTATAAAGTTAATAGTGAACCAGTATTGACATCTGTTTGTTTTAAGTAGTATAGATCAGATCTAATAAGTTCAAGTATAAGAGTGTACGTACCACATCGGTAGCAGACGGTGCCGGAGATAGATCGGTAGCGAGGGACGGAGAAGGAGCTCCGGTGGGTGGTGCTGGTGGGCTTAAAGTTAAAGGAGATGGTGCGGCTGTTGGAGTTACAGTTGGAGATGAGACTGGGACTGAAGCCGGGGGAGAGGCGAGGGGGGCAGGTGGTGGTGATGCGACGGGAGGTGGAGTGGCTGGTGGTGGTGATGCGACGGGAGGGGGAGTGGCTGGCGGTGGTGATGCAACAGGAGGAGGAGTGGCTGGTGGTGGTGAAGCGACAGGAGGAGGGGTGGCTGGTGGTGGTGAGCTTACTGGAGGAGGAGTAGCGACTGGTGGTGGTGAGCTGACTGGCGGAGGAGTGGATGTGACTTGTGGTGGAGAAGCGGTGGGAGGAGGAGTGGTGGTGGTGGGTGGAGCAGGGGTGGCTGTGGGGGAGGAAGAGGGAGATTGACCGCCAACACAGGAGAAGACAATGCAGATGAATGCAGTGAGGAAGATGGCATTCCGATCCATGGTTGTAAGTTAACGTGCGCCGCGGATGGTAGTAAATGTTAACCTAAACCTTGGGGGTGAGGAAGAGGTAAGAGATGGAAAGTGGGGAGTGTGAGAAGAAGAGAGCAGGGGCCAATATTTTTATATAGGAAAGGGGAGGTCTTGATCTGGTTCTGGTGTGGTGGGCCTCATGATATCATAGGTTACAACAGCAGTTTGTTAAGAACTTCCATTACTTTTATTTTTGTTCAATTTTATTAATTTTGAAGGTTATTTTGGTTTAACAGCTATTTTAGTTAATGATATAAATCATACGAGACAACTCATGAGTTACTAAAAATTAACTCGATAAACACTCGACTCGAATAGATTCGACTCAAACTCGAATTTGACTCGACATATTAACGAGTTGAGTCGAATTACCCAATATTCGAGTCGAAAAATTCATGAAATACTCAAGTTTTTATATATAATTAGTTTTAAAAATATATTAAATTTTATAATATAATATGTATAATCTATACTACCTTATAAATCAGATTTATCAAAAGTCTTAAAAATAATTTTTAATGCACAAAGTAGTATACATTTATGCACAAAGTCTTARAAGTCTTAAAAACAACTCATAATGCATTAAATACTACTACTTTATGCATTCAGTTTTAAAATCTCTTAACATATAGTACAAGTTACCAATGCATATTATTATTATTTTTTCTTTTCATGTTTCCAAGATACTTTTAACACCTTTCACTCATGTCTTCACCTTCTCATACTTCTATGTCTTCTCCTCATCCCCAAGGTGAGATTCAAACTGATATTCACTATGAGTTATTAAAAGTTATCTCATTCATCTCCCATTCAATTGTTCTAGAACTCTCGGTCTCACTCTCGATCTCTTGATTCTTTGCTCTTAGTGTAAATCGAACATAAATGTGGAGTCGTTTAAATATGTTAGATTTTAAATATATTGAATTTTAAACTGTCATACGATTTTTTTCATCGATAGTCTGTAATTGAAAACATAACTTTTATTTATTCAAATTGTATTAATATATAAATACCAAATGTAACTTATATTATCGTTAAATCTTCTCTAATAAAACAGTGAAACTTCAAAAATCAAAATCGTTAAAATTTAAGGCTCCTGTCGCATTGCGCGGGTACACAATTAATATAATGTAATAAAAATGTCTTATACTTTTAGATATTTAAACGATATTATGCATTTTTAACTATAAAAAACAATCTATATTTTGTTTTAATTAAATCTTAATTAAAAAAAACTATAAAAGTGCATGTAAAGTTGTCTTACATTAGAAAATAGATAATAAAGAAGGATGAAAATTTGTTATTTAAGGAGATGGATGTCAATGAAGTTTGTAATTTTGTTTTTTTGATGATGAAATTTGAGTCCTTTTAGTTTTTTTTTAAATTTAAAAAAACACCTTTAAATTTTATAATCTATACGAGAAGATCCTAAAATTTCATAAATTTTGACGGATGAGATTGATTCGAGTTCGAGTTTGATTCGAGCTTCAAACGAGTTCGAGTTTAAAAGATTGTAATCGAGTTCATGTCAAGTTTAATTTTTAACTACTAGCGAATTTTCGAGTCGAGTTTGAGTTTGAGAAATGACTATCGAGTTCACTCGCATCGTGTACACCCCTAACTTTAATAATAATAAAAACAATAAAAATAAATTATACATCTTTAAATTCGAGAGATCTTTAAATTTAATATTTATGAGAGATAATTATCATTTTAATTGTTTTCATCAGTAAAATTGAATATACTATTATTTCACCAAAAGTTTTTGAAAGTGTATTAAGACGATGAATTCATAGAATATATTAATAATATAATTATTGTTAAATTATTTAACATCGTGCATCTGTCGAAATTGAAGTAATTTCTATAGAAATTTTAACTTTTAGTTTTATATTTTAGAATAGTTATTGAAGATATTCTCAACAGAAAAGAAGAACAATCGTTTCATTTTGACATATGAGGTGGAAATGCACAAAAAAGTGTGGGATCCAACTCTATCCTGACAAACCCGAGTCTACATCCACACTAAATCTTAATCAGATCAAACTAAAGGGTCGTTTACCAAATGTTTACGCAGATAATCATTTATCACAAAATTTAATACTATCACTTCATTACCGAGTAAGATTTTAGTCCACCAAAATGGTATAGTATACAACAATTTTACCATGTAATTGCTGACTGTAGTAAAAGTCGTCATCCAACACTTACCGGGTAAAACTCTCGTCTTTACATTCGTTTTTATCAAATAAGATTCTTGATTCTTTTTAGATGCATTCGTTAACATGATATGATTTGATAAACGATTAAAATTTGGTATAAAAAAATTAGTTGTCAGCACATAAAAATGTAACCCAAAAACTGTCACCAGCTGCTTTCTAGACTTCTTTATTATTTTTGGGTGCTTTTTTGTTTTCTTATATGAAATTGGGTTAAAATAGCCGTTAAAAACAGTATTATTGGAAAATTGATTTTTTTTGTTTCTAATATGGTATAAGTAAAAAGTGTAGGTGTTATGATTGGAATTTTTTATATTGGATACATATCATTCAACAAAGTAATTTATTATTTATGTAAAAGACAAATTGTATGAAAAATAACGTATTTTGATTCAATTTTTATCTTGGATAACGTGTTTTTAAAATCTTTATTTTGATACCTAAGATGTAAAGCCTCAAACAAGTATTTAGGTGACCGACTTAAACATTGTTGAGTTACCGTGATGATACAACGAGTGACATATATATATATATATATATATAGTTTGTTTCAAATACAACTTGTTGCATTTGTACAACCGATGCAACCCAATAAATTGAGATATTTATGGAAATGATGAGAGTTCATTTATTATGATTTAAATATTTATGTAAAATGAATATGGTTCATTAATTATGATAAATATTTTATATTAAGAAACAATCTAAACTTCTATGAAATCACATATTAATCAAATGAAATGGACGGTTGAAATTGGGTGTATTGGTTGCACAAATGTCATGGGTTGTATAATAACCAACCCCCCTCTCTCTCTATATAATTATTATTTCTATGAATTATTGGGAGGGATCCCCTATCTTCCTTCGATATTCCGTTCTCCACCGTTGAATTCAAAGAATCCATCATCTCCGACGTTTCCTTCTTCGCTGATTGTCGTCGAATTGGACGAACCCATCATCCAACTCAATACTCCATTTTGGCCAATGACTATAATATATAAATTCCAATAACATAAATAAATTTAAAATTAATTTTAGATTAAACATCCATGTCATTAGTCACGTCAATAAATAATATAGAGTTGAATGTCATGTTATTCCCTTATCAGCATAATAATCGGTTAATGCTTAAACCTGTTATTCAGACACTTAAATGTTTGAAACTTGCTTTTTAGGTACTAAAATGAAGGTTTTAAAAGTACATTATCCAAAATAGGAATCAAGACAAAGTATCTTACATTTTCATACAATTTACCCTTTTAAAAGCATCAATAATAGCTAAAAATCAAAATAATGTATTTATTACTTCTATACATATGGTCCGACGTGAAAAATAAATTACTGAAGTCTTTTACTAAATTACCTCATGTTTTTAAATATGTCCACGACTTCAAACCTCGTAAGAGACATGGCATGTATTAAGAATTTAATTGACGACACGTTAAATAGTCAAGACATCGTCATATATAATGTCGTTAATACTAAGGGACCATTTATCAAATAATTACCCGATAAGTGCTTACGGGTAAAATTTAATACTACTATTTACTTAACGGGTAAGATTTTAGCCCACTAAAGCGACATCGCATGTAACAATTTACCCGGTAAGCGCTTACCGTGGTAAGAGTCGTAGCCTTCACTTACCGGGTAAGACTCTTGGTCATTGTCTCACTCTTACCGGGTAAAATTCTTGGTCATTTCTATATTCATCCTGTGAGGTAACTTGACTTGATACGCACTTACCCATATAAGTGTTTGGTAAACGGCCCCTAAATTTGAGTGTGACAAACATATTTAGGGAATTATTTATAATGTATGATACAATTATATATTTTAATAGTAATTCAATTTTATTGAGAGAATAAATGTATGATACAATTATATATTTTAAGCAAAGACCATTGAATTTTGCAAAATTATTGGAGCAAGTGTCCACATAATTTTTTTGAATTATTATTCATTTTAGCCAATTACCTAAGCAAATAATCTTAAACCAATTACCTACCCAATTATTCAGTCAGGACCGTTACGAAATGACCCATAGCATTTCTGTAAAACGTGGCGCACGCCATGGCGACTTGAGGTACGCCATAGCACGCCGCAATACGCCTTTTTTGTAACATGTGTTTTTTTTTCTAAAAATATATATTTTTTATTTTTTATCTTATGTGTTTTTATACTTTTAACTTTAAATTTTATATTTTTATAGATCTAACTAATTACATTACTCACGGTTTCACAAATTCCTAAACGTTACAGACTCATGGTTAAAATGAAGTTGTAAAATTACCTTTCTGGGTTCTATTTTGATTATGTGATCAAAAACCTATTTTTATAATAATAATGTATATGATTTTTCTTCTTTTGATATAAATGTACATTTTTTAATATTATTATATTATTAGATAATATATAGAAAACATGTATAGGGGTTCATTCAAGGGAGAACTGATTAGTTTGTGATAACTGTGAGATCTAATCTCAACCACAAATCAATGAATAAATTAGGAAACTAATATTTTTGGTAATTTGACTTACAATTATAATTAAATAGCGTTTTAGGCATTTTAAATTTTTTATCTCTCTCTCTCTCTCTCTCTCTCTCTCTCCTACCTTCGACCTCAGACGAACATCATGTGATACCCCAAATACATCAATATACACAATCTGATACCCAAAACACATCAAATAAATTTTGAGATCACTATGATACCAATTATGGTACCTCTATGATACCAATTGTGATACCATTGTGATAACAATTGTGGCGGGGATGGGGGGAAGGGAGATAGGTAGTGAAAGGGTCACAGGGATAAAGATGGGGCTAGCTGT